TTAACTCCTCATCGTTACGAATGGCCAATTGCAAGTGGCGAGGGATAATTCTAGTTTTCTTGTTGTCGCGTGCAGCATTGCCAGCCAACTCCAAAACTTCAGCGGCCAAATATTCCATAACGGCAGCCAAGTAGACAGGAGCACCGGCACCAACACGTTCAGCATAGTTGCCCTTACGAAGGAGGCGGTGAATACGACCAACGGGAAACTGAAGACCAGCGCGGTTAGAACGCGACTTTGCCTTTCCCTTCACTTTTCCACCTTTACCGCGACCAGACATTTTCGTATTTTCCTTATTTCACTGTTTCACTGCTCACACACAACTATCGAATGTTTCTGACATCCAACCACATATCCATTATATTTATACTTTTTCCAACTACCTACTTCTTCAGTTTTAGAGATGCGAGTTGAACGTGATATAAACATGAAAGCGTCGCTCGAAAAAAAGTATAAATGCTAAGCAACACACCCCAAGTGTCAAGCATTTGTGAAGTGAATTAAAGTGAACGTTTGTGAATAATAATGCCGCCGAAAACAAGTGGGAAGGCAGCCAAAAAGGCTGGTAAGGCTCAAAAAAACATTACCAAGAATGACAAGAAGAAGAAGCGCAAGAGGAAGGAAAGCTATGCTATCTACATTTACAAAGTGCTCAAGCAGGTCCACCCTGACACCGGCATTTCGTCAAAGGCGATGAGCATAATGAACAGCTTTGTTAACGACATTTTCGAGCGTATTGCTGCCGAGGCCTCCCGTTTGGCTCACTACAACAAACGCTCAACTATTACCAGTCGGGAAATCCAAACCGCAGTACGTCTTTTGCTGCCCGGCGAATTGGCCAAGCACGCTGTCAGTGAGGGAACAAAAGCAGTTACAAAGTACACCAGCTCCAAGTAAAATTCAGCTAGATGTACATTGTACATTGTACGGGAAGCAAAAGGCCCTTTTCAGGGCCACAAATCTCTTTTTCAAGGAATTAAAAATATTTAAAAATCCAAATATGCATTCTGGTTGCGTTATAAGAACTTTTCTATTATCTTAAATATTAGAGTACACTTTCCGCCTATTCGGTCTTTAGAGAATCTTTAGTATTTATGGAACTTTTTCTATCTATTGTGCGGTGGAATGAATGAGGAAAGAACATATATGATATTTACAATGATGAATGATGATAAGTTGACGTCCAATCTAATTGAAGTCCAATCTAACTTAACATGCCGATGTAGACAAAAAGAAAAATTCTTTCTCTTAGAAAATCGTATTTGTAGCCCTTAAAAGGGCTTTGTTGGAAAACCAATTTCAATATTAGAAATTTGCACATGCTGACGAGCAGTTAGCAATTTCAAATTATTTCTTCGTTGCAGATGCAGTCTTCGCTTTTGGCTTCTTGACAGCAGTTTTCTTCGGGGTCGTAGCCGACACGACTTTCTTCGGTTTAGCAGTTGTGGTCTTAGGTTTTGGGGTCTTTGGCTTTATTGCGCTTGATTTAGCCTTTGCTGTTGTAGGCTTGGCCTTTATGGTTCCCGTTTTCTTCGCATCCTTAGCCTTTGCTTTGTCCGCCTTCTTTTTCTCAACACTCTTTTTGGATGGTGTGGCCTTTGATAGCTTTTTATCAGCGGCACCCGCTGCTTTCTTCGTGATTGACGTACTACTCTTCTTTTTAGTTGCTGCTGCCGGCGAAGCATTCACCTTCTTAGCTTTCTTGTCGACAGCGGAGGCCTTTGGCTTGGGATCCTTCTTAGCGGATGCAGATAGTTTAAACGAACCAGAGGCACCCTTGCCCTTTGTTTGGATCAGCTTTCCATTCGCAACCGCATTCTTTAGGTACTTCTTAATGAACGGGGCTAGCTTCTGGGCATCGCACTTGTATGTAGCACCGATATATTTTTTAATTGCCAGAAGGGATGAGCCACCACGTTCCTTTAAATTTTTAATCGATGCATCTACCATTTGCTGAGTTGGTGGGTGCGATGGGGGAGCTGTTGACTTCTTTGACTTTGGTGTGGCTGCTGCCTTTTTAGTAGACACCTTTTTCTCGCCTGAGGCTGCTTGGGCAATCACAGGAGATGCGGACGTTGCAACTGCGGAATCAGACATTTCTTGATCTTTACCTTACTTTAGTGTACTGAAAATACTTTTGGTGTGAAAACGGAAATATGCCATGCTCACCCGTTTGAGTGAGAATCGAGGAGGACGGTGGTACGAGAATGTTTTTGGTATTGAACGTTTGTTACTCAATGCGTCGTCATTACATACTTGTTAAATGGTCATTTACAAAAGTTTATACTTGGAAATCGTTGTGAATATGAATTGAAATATTTTGTTTAATATTCAAACAATACAATATAAATTATTTAGTGTATTTAACATGATTTTATGATTTTTAATTGCCAGTCAAAGTTTAACTTTGAGTCTTGGCGAAAAACGCTTTCGAGCAAAAAACAAGATTATTAATAAAAATATAATGAATCTTGAAATATTATGCATTTATATACAATATTTCAACAATTCTTTAATTAAATTCAACTATTAATTTAAATATATCTTAAGTCTACTATTTTAAATATCTATTTAACATAACCCTTAGCTGTTAAAAACAGGCAAGTTTACAATGCAATCAATATAAAACGCTTCAGACAAATCTAATTTTGTCTTTAACAGTTAATATAAATTAAAAAAAAAAAGGAAATGAAAGATTATTCCATTTAGTAAAACAAATTGTTAATATAGTTGAAACTAAATTAATAAAATATCATGCGAAATCCATATGACATTTCTGTGTAGCGAAAAATCCATTAGACCCTTAGTTAATTTATTTTCGAAATTCAGAAATTATCTCTTAGAGCACAATTGATTGATGAAAAATTAAAAATTATGTTTATTTGCGGTGATGAGGACCAAACCAAATGCTTTATATAGCTATTCAGAAAATCATCTATACATCGACATATATTTTGTCGGTGGAATATAATGGAGTTGAGTTTTCGGTTAAATATCAAATAATATGCATATGGATTTATCGTTAAGATACAATGAGGTGAAGCAAATACTGTAATGCCCTATTTGCTTATTGTCACATTTTATAAAGCTATTTAATATAATGTTGTATTTGGCGACCTTTCCATTTCAAAATTGTTTGTTTGGCAGGCTCGAGGTCCGAGCTTTTTTTATTCAAGACAAAATGAAAATGCAGTTTTGTTTGACTTTTAACCAATGTTTTTCGACTGCACTTCGGTATTTAATATATTGATACGAAAATATCAATCTCCTTGTTTAGAATATTTTGTGGTCCTGAAAAGGACCGATTTGTTTGATATTTATGTTTTAAGGATGAGGTATAACTTAAGCGCGCTCCCCACGAATACGTCTGGCCAGTTGAATGTCCTTGGGCATGATGGTGACACGCTTAGCGTGGATAGCACACAAATTTGTATCTTCGAATAGGCCAACTAGATAGGCTTCGCTAGCTTCCTGCAAAGCCATCACAGCCGAGCTCTGGAAACGTAAGTCGGTCTTGAAATCCTGAGCAATTTCGCGTACTAAACGCTGGAACGGCAACTTGCGAATAAGCAGTTCCGTGCTCTTCTGGTAGCGACGAATTTCACGCAGGGCAACAGTGCCTGGCCTATAGCGATGAGGTTTCTTCACACCACCAGTTGCTGGAGCACTTTTACGTGCTGCCTTAGTAGCTAACTGTTTCCGAGGAGCCTTTCCTCCAGTTGATTTACGAGCAGTTTGCTTAGTACGAGCCATCTTTCTTTCACAATTCTAACTTTACACAGTCACTGTTAAAAACACAATAACCGTTCGTCTCGTTTGTGTATCGCTTATATAGAACATGAGTGATAAGTTAGAAAGAGAACGAAAGATATTTGCTGTTCGCCGCTTTGCCGAATATGTTACGAGGGTAGTGTGTGAGCGAGATGGAAATATTTTTTTACTCGCTCGAGTTTTGGATATTTTTGGTATAAATATAAGCGCTGGCTGAAGAGCTAGCATTAGTATCTTTGTGACATTCGTGGTGTAAAGTAGAATAAAAATATAAAGTGAAAAATGACTGGTCGTGGTAAAGGTGGCAAAGGCTTGGGTAAAGGCGGCGCCAAACGTCATCGCAAAGTGTTGCGTGATAATATCCAGGGCATCACGAAACCAGCTATCCGCCGTTTAGCTCGTCGTGGTGGCGTAAAACGTATTTCTGGTCTTATTTATGAGGAAACTCGTGGTGTTCTAAAAGTTTTCTTGGAAAATGTTATCCGTGATGCGGTCACATACACCGAGCACGCCAAGAGGAAGACAGTCACAGCCATGGATGTTGTTTACGCGCTGAAAAGACAAGGCCGTACCCTGTACGGTTTTGGCGGTTAAAAAGAAAATGTAGAATTTATGTTGACACCAATCGGTCCTTTTCAGGACCACCAATCCGTTTTATTAAGAGATCAAAAACGTTTAATTCTTAACCTTAACCTTAATGAAACACGCTAGCACAGATCATATGAATGTCTAAAATGTGATGTTGTCAACTTTTATCCGCTGTCTTTTTTTTTTGTTTAGTTAACTAGCAAATTATGCCTTTTTTTCAATATTATGCCTTCTTGGGCAACAGAACTGCTTGGATATTGGGTAAAACAACGCCCAGGGCAATGGTCAAGCTGTCAAACGCTTCTCCATCTAAGAATCAACCGCTCCCGGCACTGCTCCAGCAATCGACAAGATTCACCGATGTTCGTTTGTTTTACAAATTTTGTGCTTGTTTTTAATCTATCACAAAAGACATATTTTGTGCTTGTTTTTAATCTATCACAAAAGTAAGACAACCGCATTCGATACACACATTTTTATCGACTAGCACGACTGTACTTTTGAGCTGAGATGTACTTTGTATTATTAAATCGATTTCAGATACCCTATCGAATGAAAAGATAATCTCTTTTTTAATATTTTTGGTCGTCCTGAAAAGGACGGTTGGTTTCGACTTTTTTTTTTGTTTAGTTACTAGTAAATTATGCCTTCTTTTCCGTCTTCTTGGGCAACAGCACTGCTTGGATGTTGGGTAAAACACCGCCCTGGGCAATGGTGACGCCCGAAAGCAGTTTGTTTAACTCCTCATCGTTACGAATGGCCAATTGCAAGTGGCGAGGGATAATTCTAGTTTTCTTGTTGTCGCGTGCAGCATTGCCAGCCAACTCCAAAACTTCAGCGGCCAAATATTCCATAACGGCAGCCAAGTAGACAGGAGCACCGGCACCTACACGTTCAGCATAGTTGCCCTTACGAAGGAGGCGGTGAATACGACCAACGGGAAACTGAAGACCAGCGCGGTTAGAACGCGACTTTGCCTTTCCCTTCACTTTTCCACCTTTACCGCGACCAGACATTTTCGTATTTTCCTTATTTCACTGTTTCACTGCTCACACACAACTATCGAATGTTTCTGACATCCAACCACATATCCATTATATTTATACTTTTTCCAACTACCTACTTCTTCAGTTTTAGAGATGCGAGTTGAACGTGATATAAACATGAAAGCGTCGCTCGAAAAAAAGTATAAATGCTAAGCAACACACCCCAAGTGTCAAGCATTTGTGAAGTGAATTAAAGTGAACGTTTGTGAATAATAATGCCGCCGAAAACAAGTGGGAAGGCAGCCAAAAAGGCTGGTAAGGCTCAAAAAAACATTACCAAGAATGACAAGAAGAAGAAGCGCAAGAGGAAGGAAAGCTATGCTATCTACATTTACAAAGTGCTCAAGCAGGTCCACCCTGACACCGGCATTTCGTCAAAGGCGATGAGCATAATGAACAGCTTTGTTAACGACATTTTCGAGCGTATTGCTGCCGAGGCCTCCCGTTTGGCTCACTACAACAAACGCTCAACTATTACCAGTCGGGAAATCCAAACCGCAGTACGTCTTTTGCTGCCCGGCGAATTGGCCAAGCACGCTGTCAGTGAGGGAACAAAAGCAGTTACAAAGTACACCAGCTCCAAGTAAAATTCAGCTAGATGTACATTGTACATTGTACGGGAAGCAAAAGGCCCTTTTCAGGGCCACAAATCTCTTTTTCAAGGAATTAAAAATATTTAAAAATCCAAATATGCATTCTGGTTGCGTTATAAGAACTTTTCTATTATCTTAAATATTAGAGTACACTTTCCGCCTATTCGGTCTTTAGAGAATCTTTAGTATTTATGGAACTTTTTCTATCTATTGTGCGGTGGAATGAATGAGGAAAGAACATATATGATATTTACAATGATGAATGATGATAAGTTGACGTCCAATCTAATTGAAGTCCAATCTAACTTAACATGCCGATGTAGACAAAAAGAAAAATTCTTTCTCTTAGAAAATCGTATTTGTAGCCCTTAAAAGGGCTTTGTTGGAAAACCAATTTCAATATTAGAAATTTGCACATGCTGACGAGCAGTTAGCAATTTCAAATTATTTCTTCGTTGCAGATGCAGTCTTCGCTTTTGGCTTCTTGACAGCAGTTTTCTTCGGGGTCGTAGCCGACACGACTTTCTTCGGTTTAGCAGTTGTGGTCTTAGGTTTTGGGGTCTTTGGCTTTATTGCGCTTGATTTAGCCTTTGCTGTTGTAGGCTTGGCCTTTATGGTTCCCGTTTTCTTCGCATCCTTAGCCTTTGCTTTGTCCGCCTTCTTTTTCTCAACACTCTTTTTGGATGGTGTGGCCTTTGATAGCTTTTTATCAGCGGCACCCGCTGCTTTCTTCGTGATTGACGTACTACTCTTCTTTTTAGTTGCTGCTGCCGGCGAAGCATTCACCTTCTTAGCTTTCTTGTCGACAGCGGAGGCCTTTGGCTTGGGATCCTTCTTAGCGGATGCAGATAGTTTAAACGAACCAGAGGCACCCTTGCCCTTTGTTTGGATCAGCTTTCCATTCGCAACCGCATTCTTTAGGTACTTCTTAATGAACGGGGCTAGCTTCTGGGCATCGCACTTGTATGTAGCACCGATATATTTTTTAATTGCCAGAAGGGATGAGCCACCACGTTCCTTTAAATTTTTAATCGATGCATCTACCATTTGCTGAGTTGGTGGGTGCGATGGGGGAGCTGTTGACTTCTTTGACTTTGGTGTGGCTGCTGCCTTTTTAGTAGACACCTTTTTCTCGCCTGAGGCTGCTTGGGCAATCACAGGAGATGCGGACGTTGCAACTGCGGAATCAGACATTTCTTGATCTTTACCTTACTTTAGTGTACTGAAAATACTTTTGGTGTGAAAACGGAAATATGCCATGCTCACCCGTTTGAGTGAGAATCGAGGAGGACGGTGGTACGAGAATGTTTTTGGTATTGAACGTTTGTTACTCAATGCGTCGTCATTACATACTTGTTAAATGGTCATTTACAAAAGTTTATACTTGGAAATCGTTGTGAATATGAATTGAAATATTTTGTTTAATATTCAAACAATACAATATAAATTATTTAGTGTATTTAACATGATTTTATGATTTTTAATTGCCAGTCAAAGTTTAACTTTGAGACTTGGCGAAAAACGTTTTCGAGCAAAAAACACGATTATTAATAAAAATATAATGAATCTTGAAATATTATGCATTTATATACAATATTTCAACAATTCTTTAATCAAATTCAACTATTAATTTAAATATATCTTAAGTCTACTATTTTAAATATCTATTTAACATAAGCCTTAGCTGTTAAAAACAGGCAAGTTTACAATGAAATCAATATAAAACGCTTCAGACAAATCTAATTTTGTCTTTAACAGTTAATATAAATTAAAAAAAAAAAAGGAAATGAAAGATTATTCCATTTAGTAAAACAAATTGTTAATATAGTTGAAACTAAATTAATAAAATATCATGCGAAATCCATATGACATTTCTGTGTAGCGAAAAATCCATTAGACCCTTAGTTAATTTATTTTCGAAATTCAGAAATTATCTCTTAGAGCACAATTGATTGATGAAAAATTAAAAATTATGTTTATTTGCGGTGATGAGGACCAAACCAAATGCTTTATATAGCTATTCAGAAAATCATCTATACATCGACATATATTTTGTCGGTGGAATATAATGGAGTTGAGTTTTCGGTTAAATATCAAATAATATGCATATGGATTTATCGTTAAGATACAATGAGGTGAAGCAAATACTGTAATGCCCTATTTGCTTATTGTCACATTTTATAAAGCTATTTAATATAATGTTGTATTTGGCGACCTTTCCATTTCAAAATTGTTTGTTTGGCAGGCTCGAGGTCCGAGCTTTTTTTATTCAAGACAAAATGAAAATGCAGTTTTGTTTGACTTTTAACCAATATTTTTCGGTATTTAATATATTGATACGAAAATATCAATCTCCTTGTTTAGAATATTTTGTGGTCCTGAAAAGGACCGATTTGTTTGATATTAAGGATGAGGTATAACTTAAGCGCGCTCCCCACGAATACGTCTGGCCAGTTGAATGTCCTTGGGCATGATGGTGACACGCTTAGCGTGGATAGCACACAAATTTGTATCTTCGAATAGGCCAACTAGATAGGCTTCGCTAGCTTCCTGCAAAGCCATCACAGCCGAGCTCTGGAAACGTAAGTCGGTCTTGAAATCCTGAGCAATTTCGCGTACTAAACGCTGGAACGGCAACTTGCGAATTAGCAGTTCCGTGCTCTTCTGGTAGCGACGAATTTCACGCAGGGCAACAGTGCCTGGCCTATAGCGATGAGGTTTCTTCACACCACCAGTTGCTGGAGCACTTTTACGTGCTGCCTTAGTAGCTAACTGTTTCCGAGGAGCCTTTCCTCCAGTTGATTTACGAGCAGTTTGCTTAGTACGAGCCATCTTTCTTTCACAATTCTAACTTTACACAGTCACTGTTAAAAACACAATAACCGTTCGTCTCGTTTGTGTATCGCTTATATAGAACATGAGTGATAAGTTAGAAAGAGAACGAAAGATATTTGCTGTTCGCCGCTTTGCCGAATATGTTACGAGGGTAGTGTGTGAGCGAGATGGAAATATTTTTTTACTCGCTCGAGTTTTGGATATTTTTGGTATAAATATAAGCGCTGGCTGAAGAGCTAGCATTAGTATCTTTGTGACATTCGTGGTGTAAAGTAGAATAAAAATATAAAGTGAAAAATGACTGGTCGTGGTAAAGGTGGCAAAGGCTTGGGTAAAGGCGGCGCCAAACGTCATCGCAAAGTGTTGCGTGATAATATCCAGGGCATCACGAAACCAGCTATCCGCCGTTTAGCTCGTCGTGGTGGCGTAAAACGTATTTCTGGTCTTATTTATGAGGAAACTCGTGGTGTTCTAAAAGTTTTCTTGGAAAATGTTATCCGTGATGCGGTCACATACACCGAGCACGCCAAGAGGAAGACAGTCACAGCCATGGATGTTGTTTACGCGCTGAAAAGACAAGGCCGTACCCTGTACGGTTTTGGCGGTTAAAAAGAAAATGTAGAATTTATGTTGACACCAATCGGTCCTTTTCAGGACCACCAATCCGTTTTATTAAGAGATCAAAAACGTTTAATTCAACCTTAATGAAAGAAGCAAGCACAGATCATATGAATGTCTAAAATGTGATGTATTCAAGCGTCAAACGTTTCTCCATCTCAGAATCAACCGCTCCCGACACTGCTCCATTAATCGACCAGAATCACCGATGTTCGTTTGTTTTACATATTTTGTGCTTGTTTTTAATCCATCACAAATGTATGACAACCGCATTCGATAGGACAATTTGCACATTTTTAGCGACTAGCACGACTGTACTTTTGAGCTGAGATGTACTTTGTATTATTGAATCGATTTCGGATACCCTATTGAATGAAAAGATAATCTCTTTTTAAATATTTTTGGTCGTCCTGAAAAGGACGGTTGGTTTCAACTATTTACGAAGAATACGCTTTTTTTTTTTTAGTTTCGTTAACTAGCAAATTATGCCTTTTTTTAACATAATGCCTTCTTGGGCAACAGAACTGCTTGGATGTTGGGTAAAACAACGCCCAGGGCAATGGTCAAGCTGTCAAACGCTTCTCCATCTAAGAATCAACCGCTCCCGACACTGCTCCAGCAATCGACAAGATTCACCGATGTTCGTTTGTTTTACATATTTTGTGCTTGTTTTTTATCTATCACAAAAGTAAGACAACCGCATTCCATAAGACAATATTACACATTTTTATCGACTAGCACGACTGTACTTTGTATTATTGAATCGATTTCGGATACCCTATCGAATGAAAAGATAATCTCTTTTTTAATATTTTTGGTCGTCCTGAAAAGGACGGTTGGTTTCGACTATTTACAAATGTATACGCTGTCTTTTTTTTTTTTTGTTTAGTTAACTAGCAAATTATGCCTTCTTTTCCGTCTTCTTGGGCAACAGAACTGCTTGGATGTTGGGTAAAACACCGCCCTGGGCAATGGTGACGCCCGAAAGCAGTTTGTTTAACTCCTCATCGTTACGAATGGCCAATTGCAAGTGGCGAGGAATAATTCTAGTTTTCTTGTTGTCGCGTGCAGCATTGCCAGCCAACTCCAAAACTTCAGCGGCCAAATATTCCATAACGGCAGCCAAGTAGACAGGAGCACCGGCACCAACACGTTCAGCATAGTTGCCCTTACGAAGGAGGCGGTGAATACGACCAACGGGAAACTGAAGACCAGCGCGGTTAGAACGCGACTTTGCCTTTCCCTTCACTTTTCCACCTTTACCGCGACCAGACATTTTCGTATTTTCCTTATTTCACTGTTTCACTGCTTACACACAACTATCGAATGTTTCTGATATCCAACCACATATCCATTATATTTATACTTTTTCCAACTACCTACTTCTTCAGTTTTAGAGATGCGAATTGAACGTGATATAAACATGAAAGCGTCGCTCGAAAAAAAGTATAAATGCGAAGCAACACACCCCAAGTGTCAAACATTTGTGAAGTGAATTAAAGTGAACGTTTGTGAATAATAATGCCGCCGAAAACAAGTGGGAAGGCAGCCAAAAAGGCTGGTAAGGCTCAAAAAAACATTACCAAGAATGACAAGAAGAAGAAGCGCAAGAGGAAGGAAAGCTATGCTATCTACATTTACAAAGTGCTCAAGCAGGTCCACCCTGACACCGGCATTTCGTCAAAGGCGATGAGCATAATGAACAGCTTTGTTAACGACATTTTCGAGCGTATTGCTGCCGAGGCCTCCCGTTTGGCTCACTACAACAAACGCTCAACTATTACCAGTCGGGAAATCCAAACCGCAGTACGTCTTTTGCTGCCCGGCGAATTGGCCAAGCACGCTGTCAGTGAGGGAACAAAAGCAGTTACAAAGTACACCAGCTCCAAGTAAAATTCAGCTAGATGTACATTGTACGGGAAGCAAAAGGCCCTTTTCAGGGCCACAAATCTCTTTTTCAAGGAATTAAAAATATTTAAAAATCCAAATATGCATTCTGGTTGCGTTATAAGAACTTTTCTATTATCTTAAATATTAGAGTACACTTTCCGCCTATTCGGTCTTTAGAGAATCTTTAGTATTTATGGAACTTTTTCTATCTATTGTGCGGTGGAATGAATGAGGAAAGAACATATATGATATTTACAATGATGAATGATGATAAGTTGACGTCCAATCTAATTGAAGTCCAATCTAACTTAACATATATGCCGATGTAGACAAAAAGAAAAATTCTTTCTCTTAGAAAATCGTATTTGTAGCCCTTAAAAGGGCTTTGTTGGAAAACCAATTTCAATATTAGAAATTTGCACATGCTGACGAGCAGTTAGCAATTTCAAATTATTTCTTCGTTGCAGATGCAGTCTTCGCTTTTGGCTTCTTGACAGCAGTTTTCTTCGGGGTCGTAGCCGACACGACTTTCTTCGGTTTAGCAGTTGTGGTCTTAGGTTTTGGGGTCTTTGGCTTTGTTGCGCTTGATTTAGCCTTTGCTGTTGTAGGCTTGGCCTTTATGGTTCCCGTTTTCTTCGCATCCTTAGCCTTTGCTTTGTCCGCCTTCTTTTTCTCACCACTCTTTTTGGTTGCTGCCGATTTTGATGGCTTTTTATCAGCGGCACCAGGGGCTTTCTTCGTGGTAGATGTACTACTCTTCTTTTTAGTTGCTGCTGCCGCCGAAGCATTTACCTTCTTAGTTTTCTTGTCGACAGCGGAGGCCTTTGGCTTGGGATCCTTCTTAGCGGATGCAGATAGTTTGAACGAACCAGAGGCACCCTTGCCCTTTGTTTGGATCAGCTTTCCATTCGCAACCGCATTCTTTAGGTACTTCTTAATGAACGGGGCTAGCTTCTGGGCATCGCACTTGTATGTAGCACCGATATATTTTTTAATTGCCAGAAGGGATGAGCCACCACGTTCCTTTAAATTTTTAATCGATGCATCTACCATTTGCTGAGTTGGTGGGTGCGATGGGGGAGCTGTTGACTTCTTTGACTTTGGTGTGGCTGCTGCCTTTTTAGTAGACACCTTTTTCTCGCCTGAGGCTGCTTGGGCAATCACAGGAGATGCGGACGTTGCAACTGCGGAATCAGACATTTCTTGATCTTTACCTTACTTTAGTGTACTGAAAATACTTTTGGTGTGAAAACAGTTTCAGTTTTTATTGGTCACAGTAGGTTTCATGGTAATACATTTTGGTACCTTATTCATAAGTACAGTCTTGATTGACAAAGTCAAGTTAACTTAATTTTAGGTTTTACATTTCATTTTGCCTTGCGCTTCTAGCTTATCCAGGCGTTAATTCTATTACTTATTATTATTTAGATTATAGTTCTTAAGGTTTATGTTTTGGTATAGTTGAGTAACTTTATTGTGTATATATATATATTCCTAGGAAAGACTCGTTTTGAGTAAAAACCTGGATTTCGTAATGTTAATTTGGATTTGTTTGTTTTTGTCTTATAACTAGCTTAATTTGTAATAACAAGGGTCTTAGGAACTAGATAACTGGATTGAGGAAGAGATAGGAGGTTAGAAATATTTATACAATAGAAGATAGGGAGAAAAAAGGGGGGGATATGTTGCGACAAATAATAATAAGATGAGCATTTCATTTTTTGTTTTTTTTTTTTTTTTTTTTTTGTTTTTTATTGTTTAATGTTGTAAGCAAGTCCATCGTTAGGGTCGATGGACTGCCTTTTTCTGTGGTAGAATATTAGGTTGTTCTGAGAGTCGCGTATTATGCCCTTCTCTTTGAGACTGTTTATATGGTTTATGGTTAGGTGGTCTGTTGAGAATCCGACCGGTATCCGGATCTGCTCTATGCTATCTAATACTTGTTGGTTTGTACTGTTGCGGTTTCGTTCTAGGAACTTTTCGATTATTTTAAATATGAGGGTGTCTACTCGCATGGTATTTGCGATTTTGTATAGCTTTGAGTTTGATATGTAGTTGTGTGAGTTGGGTATGAGGGAGCGTTTCCCTAAGGCACGGCGTAGGATGCGTCTTTCAAAAAGACGTATTTTTTCCATTTGTCTGGATTTAATATTGAACCAACCGATGTGGCCATGGGTTAGGATTGGTTGGATTAGTTTCTTATAGGTAAGTGAACCTATTTTGATCAATTGGGCATTCGGATGGGATGGGTTCTCATTTAAAGGCTTGTAGATATGATGAATTTGGTGCAGTTGGATTTTTGCTCGCTTAAGGGTATGTTCGATGTGCTCTTGGAATTTGAGTTTTTCATCATATATGACTCCTAGGTATTTTATTTTTGATCTGATTTGTATTTCTGTATTGCCCTTGAAAATACATCCCTCGCACTTATTAGCGTTAAGCTTAAGTCGCCATTTGGCAAAGTATTTGCATAGTTGGTCTAGATATTTATTGAGGTCCATTTCTGCGCTTGCTATCCATGCACCTGAGGATAGTAGAAGGATATCGTCCGCGTAGATGAGCGGCTGAATACGCGCTGTCGAGGTTGAGGTGGGGATCTGTATGAAGGCTGGTAGATCAGCGAGGTAAATGTTATATAATATTGGTGCTAGGAGGGAACCCTGCGGCACTCCTGCAGTTATTTCGCGGATTAGCGATTGCTCTATGCCGTCTGGGCTGGCGACATAGAAAGAACGGGTTGTAAGGTAGTTTTGGATAATACGTGTGGTATTTGGGTTAAATCGGAAGATGTTGTTCATTTTGTATATGAGGCCGTTCGTCCAAACCGTATCGAAAGCTTTTTCGAAGTCAAGGGCACATGCGATTGTAGCACGCTGTCTAGCGATGTTGCTAAATATGAAGGAATTTGCGACAGCTAATGAGTTGCTAATAGATAGGTTGTCCCTGAAACCGAACTGATAGGGTTTAAGTATTTGATGGGAGTCTAAGTGTTTTTTGATTTGTGCCATTAACATTTTTTCGAATAGGAGGCTAATTGCGGAGAGGATTGAGATTGGCCTGTACCCTTGTAGGCTTTGTGGGTTTGATTTAGGTTTTAGTATGGGAGTTATTCTGCTGCATTTCCAGGCATTTGGAAAGTAGCCTGAATTAAAGCAATGATTGAAAATGACTGCTAGGTGTTTGAGGACTAGCATATTGCAATGTTTTAGGAGGTAATTATTAATACCATCTGGGCCCATGGTTTTTTTGCTATTTTTTTGTTTGACCCACTCGAGAAGTTGCTTGGCGTTTGTAAAGCCGAGCTCTTCCGAGTTTTCCCAATTGCCGTCTGCTCTTCGGCTGGGATCAAAATTGATTATGTAGTTTGGTATGTGCGAGGGATTTTGTGCTATAGTGCCGACTCGCCTATTTATGCGGGCAGTGTGTTGCCTAAGCTCGGGGCTGCCATTAGACATGTAGTCATTCTGCTTGTGGATTTGCTCGAATGACCACGCTAGGGCATTGACTTTTTCGAATTTCGACTTAATAACGATAGGAACGTTAATGTCGATTTCATTATGCTCAGTGGCTGTTAAGTGGATGTCGTGTTTAAGCGGCTCGTCTGTTTGGTGGTTTGGGTTACTATGTCTTAGGGTTTTTAAGCTAATCTTACTTGGCCTTATGTATTTCAGGCAGGTTTCTACATGTCGTAGGTTGCTAGTGTGGATATGGCTATTGATTTGGATTGTGAGGTCGGAGATTAGGGATTTAAGCTGTGACTTTTCGTCAAATGATAGTGAGTGTTGGCGCCTAACGAGGTATCTTCTAATGATGCGTTTCTGCTTGATAAGAGCAAGACACTGTGCGCTTAGTTTGACTGTGTTATAGGGCTTGGATGGATGTATAGTTCTTTTGGGGATGGCATCTGGCGAGTCCAGTGCAGTGTTAAGTGCTGTATTAAGTTCTTCAATGTGTGCATCTATTTCTTGAGGGTTTAGGTTGGAAGATATCGTAATTGGTCTGAGATTTCTTAAGAGAATAGAGTTCCATATATCTGTGTTTATGCAGTCGAATCTATGTACTTTTTTTGGGTCTGTGCTTATAAGTGTGTATTGGCCCAGTTGTATTTTTAGGGTAACCCCGAGATGGTCTGATGGGAATTCATCTGTTGTGTTGCAGAGGGAACCATTTTCTGTCTGGAGGTCTATAGAGGATATGAAGAAATCTATTGAGGATGGGTTGTTAGAGTTATTGGGACGACTAGGTTCTTTGGGGGGGTAAAGAACGAAGTTGGGTTGTCCTAGAAGCCAGGTTTGAAGGTTTTTACCGGCGTTATTTATGTGGGCTGGGCTATAGTCAGGTACATGCCAACTAGGGTGTTTGGCATTTAGGTCGCAACCTATAATTATTTGGGCACCATTTCCAGTATGATGCAATGAGTTGAATAGCGTATTCATGTCGTTAGTGAGAAGTGGGTCTTTGGGCCGTTTGTATAATGAGACTGCTATAAAGCTTTGGGTGTTGCTGAGCGAGTCTTTGTATGAAAGTTTAATTGCCACGGCTTCGATATAGCATAGTGGCGGGATATCTAATCGTTCAAACTGTATGCCGTTTTTAACGCATATGGCGACGGACGTACCACCATTTTCTGGGTGACGTTGCGCATGTCTTGTATGGGTAGCTTTCACATTTTGCCTTATGAATTGGTATTGGGAAAGTTTTGCGGTATTTCTGTTCCCTAGACGGTGCTCTGCTATGAGCATTATGTCTGGCCTATGTCTGTTTAGGAATTGGTCGAACTCATGCCTCTTCTGTAGTGAGATGAGTGAATTAACGTTTTGGAAGATACATTTAAGGGAGGTCATTTTTATTGTGCAATTTGAATAAGGAAGTCTAGTAGTAGGGCTTGTTTTATTTTGCGAGCTTCTGACTCATCTTGGGCTTGGTTTGTGGGGTATTTTTTTGTGAGTTTCTGCATGATGTTTATGCAGGTGAAAATATCTTTGCCGAAGGCTTGGACACTATCACTGTTGATGGTCTCAAGCGAGAGATTTGTTGCTTGTGGCTTTGGGGCCAGATTGTTAGCGAGATGTTTTTTTAGTGCCGGGTTGGTGACAATAATGTTTTTTGGGAGTTGTGGCTGACGAGAGTCGGGCCTTACCTCATTTGTTTTTTTGAAAAGTGAGGCGAATGGGACATTATTTTTAATCTTGCTTGCAGTGAGTGCTGTAGTGGCCTTGGTAATTTTTTTTACATTTCTTTGTTCAGCGCTACTTCGCTTATTTTCGAGTTTGGTGGTGATTGCTATTCTGACCGGGCAGATATTAGCATTTGCTGTGTGTTGACCCTTGCAGTTGACACATTGTGTTTTATTGTTGTCTGCTGGGTTATCAGTTTTTTTGATACTGCATTGCCCGGGGGCATGGTCAGCAGTGCATTTGATGCATCTATACTGCATTTTGCAATTGCTTGCGACATGGCAATACCGTTGGCAGTTGTGGCATTGTTTTATTTTCTTTTCGGCTTTGAGCGCCTCGATTTTTATTTTGCAGTTAAGTAGGCTTTTAATGGAGTATATTGTTTTGGCCTTTTCTGTTTTTTCTATTTGTACCAGCCAGAAGTTCTTTTTAAATGGTTTGACGCTAATGATTTTCAGGTCTGGGCAGGTTTCTTGTACTGCTATCTTAACTTCATCTTCTGTGAAGATTTGCTGAGGTAATTTTTTTATAACTATGGAGTAAGGCTTAAGTTCTTTGGGGGTGTAAGTATAGTAGCTTTTTTGATTAAGGTCTAACAGTTTCTTAGTCTCTTGGAAATCTTCAAGGGTAAAGACATTGACATGGGTTCTATTTTTGTTGATTATATTAAGTCTAAAACGCTCATTTTTCATTATTTGTCGCAACATACCCGTCAGTTCCTTTGGGTTCACATTATATGTCGCTATAATGGGTAGTTTTGACGTCTTGGTTTTCGTCTCTTTTGTTTTGGATGGTCCAGGTAATTCTACCCTTGGTGCGGTTGGGGCTATCACGGTGGTTTCCTCTGGGTCATCATCAATGTCCATATCGTCAGCTACTTTTGGAGTGGCTGGTTTCTGGCCCTTTGATTTCTTGTTTTTCTTGGGCTTGGACGGGCCCAGTTCTGGGAACTCGTCGTCCTGCGTGGCTTCGTTTTCGTCTAGCTGGGCGAGAGCTGCAAATTTGTTGCCATCGAATGCTTTTGCCGTTGCTTGTATTTTTAGGTGTTTCAGCTGGTTTTGAATTCCTTGGTGTTTCTTCGAGATTGCTTCTGGCCCGTTAGCAGAACCGGCTGCTTGTGCTCGGAGACGCATTAGTTCTTCCATTATTGAGTGGTATTCTGTGGATTTCATCCACACACCCTCAGTTGTTTCGAGATCGTCATAATTTTCCTGTATGTCATTGATTTCGGCTTCCTCATCGGTGTATTCATCATAGCTAAGCGATGATATCGATGAGGTGCGGCTGCGTTTACCACATGCGTTCTCCTGCTCGTTGAGATCAGCTTGTTGGTTATTGTATTTTGCACTTGCCATTTTGTTTTTTGTATACGGTGATTGATGCACTTTTCTTTGGTTTTTTAGGTGCAATGCCGACTTGCTTTTTTGCACTTTACCACTTCCGTTTATTTTAATTTTTCCGAAATTTGTGATCGGGTCGCATTGTTCGTCACTTGTGGCCGTAATATTTATTTCTGTGTCCATATCACTTATATTTCAGATTTAAATTTCAGATTTAAATTTATTTATTTTTTCAGATTTAAATTTATTTATTTATTAATGGTCGACAAAACGAGTGTCTTCCTCATTATTCAATAGAATATACAATAGAATTTTATGCTAAAAGCCTAGTTAAAGGATACAATTTTCTAAATAGCATCACCGACCGATGGAGGTGTTTTATTTGCCAGTCCGGCCAGCTGTGCCCCTTTTCACAGCTAATTTTGTCAGTGACGCTATTAGAGCCTACATCTAAGCAGAAGGTTGTAAGTAGGAAAAAAGTGTTTTCAAGTAGCATTAAAATAATCTTAATATATATATATATTATATATTACTTTTGCCACTTTAGGGTTATCATGCACTAGCACTCGCGTTTGACGCGTATCCACAATCGCGTTTGACGCGTATCCACAATCGCGTTTGACGCGTTTCCACACTCGCGTTTAACGCGGCTTCACACAGACACGTGTTCGACACGTTCCCACACTCGCGTTTAACGCGGCTTCACACAGACACGTGTTCGACACGTTCCCAAACTCGCGTTCAATGCGGTTTCACACTGTCACGTGTTCAACACGTTTCCAAACTCGCGTTCGCTTTGATTTTAAGCAATCACAGGAGATGCGGACGTTGCAACATTTTCGTATTTTCCTTATTTCACTGTTTCACTGCTTACACACAACTATCGAATGTTTCTGACATCCAACCACATATCCATTATGTTTATACTTTTTCCAACTACCTACTTCTTCAGTTTTAGAGATGCGAGTTGAACGTGATATAAACATGAAAGCGTCGCTCGAAAAAAAGTATAAATGCTAAGCAACACACCCCAAGTGTCAAGCATTTGTGAAGTGAATTAAAGTGAACGTTTGTGAATAATAATGCCGCCGAAAACAAGTGGGAAGGCAGCCAAAAAGGCTGGTAAGGCTCAAAAAAACATTACCAAGAATGACAAGAAGAAGAAGCGCAAGAGGAAGGAAAGCTATGCTATCTACATTTACAAAGTGCTCAAGCAGGTCCACCCTGACACCGGCATTTCGTCAAAGGCGATGAGCATAATGAACAGCTTTGTTAACGACATTTTCGAGCGTATTGCTGCCGAGGCCTCCCGTTTGGCTCACTACAACAAACGCTCAACTATTACCAGTCGGGAAATCCAAACCGCAGTACGTCTTTTGCTGCCCGGCGAATTGGCCAAGCACGCTGTCAGTGAGGGAACAAAAGCAGTTACAAAGTACACCAGCTCCAAGTAAAATTCAGCTAGATGTACATTGTACATTGTACGGGAAGCAAAAGGCCCTTTTCAGGGCCACAAATCTCTTTTTCAAGGAATTAAAAATATTTAAAAATCCAAATATGCATTCTGGCTGCGTTATAAGAACTTTTCTATTATCTTAAATATTAGAGTACACTTTCCGCCTATTCGGTCTTTAGAGAATCTTTAGTATTTATGGAACTTTTTCTATCTATTGTGCGGTGGAATGAATGAGGAAAGAACATATATGATATTTACAATGATGAATGATGATAAGTTGACGTCCAATCTAATTGAAGTATAACTTAACATATATGCCGATGTAGACAAAAAGAAAAATTCTTTCTCTTAGAAAATCGTATTTGTAGCCCTTAAAAGGGCTTTGTTGGAAAACCAATTTCAATATTAGAAATTTGCACATGCTGACGAGCAGTTAGCAATTTCAAATTATTTCTTCGTTGCAGATGCAGTCTTCGCTTTTGGCTTCTTGACAGCAGTTTTCTTCGGGGTCGTAGCCGACACGACTTTCTTCGGTTTAGCAGTTGTGGTCTTAGGTTTTGGGGTCTTTGGCTTTATTGCGCTTGATTTAGCCTTTGCTGTTGTAGGCTTGGCCTTTATGGTTCCCGTTTTCTTCGCATCCTTAGCCTTTGCTTTGTCCGCCTTCTTTTTCTCAACACTCTTTTTGGATGGTGTGGCCTTTGATAGCTTTTTATCAGCGGCACCCGCTGCTTTCTTCGTGATTGACGTACTACTCTTCTTTTTAGTTGCTGCTGCCGGCGAAGCATTCACCTTCTTAGCTTTCTTGTCGACAGCGGAGGCCTTTGGCTTGGGATCCATCTTAGCGGATGCAGATAGTTTAAACGAACCAGAGGCACCCTTGCCCTTTGTTTGGATCAGCTTTCCATTCGCAACCGCATTCTTTAGGTACTTCTTAATGAACGGGGCTAGCTTCTGGGCATCGCACTTGTATGTAGCACCGATATATTTTTTAATTGCCAGAAGGGATGAGCCACCACGTTCCTTTAAATTTTTAATCGATGCATCTACCATTTGCTGAGTTGGTGGGTGCGATGGGGGAGCTGTTGACTTCTTTGACTTTGGTGTGGCTGCTGCCTTTTTAGTAGACACCTTTTTCTCGCCTGAGGCTGCTTGGGCAATCACAGGAGATGCGGACGTTGCAACTGCGGAATCAGACATTTCTTGATCTTTACCTTACTTTAGTGTACTGAAAATACTTTTGGTGTGAAAACGGAAATATGCCATGCTCACCCGTTTGAGTGAGAATCGAGGAGGACGGTGGTACGAGAATGTTTTTGGTATTGAACGTTTGTTACTCAATGCGTCGTCATTACATACTTGTTAAATGGTCATTTACAAAAGTTTATACTTGGAAATCGTTGTGAATATGAATTGAAATGTTTTGTTTAATATTCAAACAATACAATATAAATTATTTAGTGTATTTAACATGATTTTATGATTTTTAATTGCCAGTCAAAGTTTAACTTTGAGACTTGGCGAAAAACGTTTTCGAGCAAAAAACACGATTATTAATAAAAATATAATGAATCTTGAAATATTATGCATTTATATACAATATTTCAACAATTCTTTAATCAAATTCAACTATTAATTTAAATATATCTTAAGTCTACTATTTTAAATATCTATTTAACATAAGCCTTAGCTGTTAAAAACAGGCAAGTTTACAATGAAATCAATATAAAACGCTTCAGACAAATCTAATTTTGTCTTTAACAGTTAATATAAATTAAAAAAAAAAAAGGAAATGAAAGATTATTCCATTTATTAAAACAAATTGTTAATATAGTTGAAACTAAATTAATAAAATATCATGCGAAATCCATATGACATTTCTGTGTAGCGAAAAATCCATTAGACCCTTAGTTAATTTATTTTCGAAATTCAGAAATTATCTCTTAGAGCACAATTGATTGATGAAAAATTAAAAATTATGTTTATTTGCGGTGATGAGGACCAAACCAAATGCTTTATATAGCTATTCAGAAAATCATCTATACATCGACATATATTTTGTCGGTGGAATATAATGGAGTTGAGTTTTCGGTTAAATATCAAATAATATGCATATGGATTTATCGTTAAGATACAATGAGGTGAAGCAAATACTGTAATGCCCTATTTGCTTATTGTCACATTTTATAAAGCTATTTAATATAATGTTGTATTTGGCGACCTTTCCATTTCAAAATTGTTTGTTTGGCAGGCTCGAGGTCCGAGCTTTTTTTATTCAAGACAAAATGAAAATGCAGTTTTGTTTGACTTTTAACCAATATTTTTCGGTATTTAATATATTGATACGAAAATATCAATCTCCTTGTTTAGAATATTTTGTGGTCCTGAAAAGGACCGATTTGTTTGATATTTATGTTTTAAGGATGAGGTATAACTTAAGCGCGCTCCCCACGAATACGTCTGGCCAGTTGAATGTCCTTGGGCATGATGGTGACACGCTTAGCGTGGATAGCACACAAATTTGTATCTTCGAATAGGCCAACTAGATAGGCTTCGCTAGCTTCCTGCAAAGCCATCACAGCCGAGCTCTGGAAACGTAAGTCGGTCTTGAAATCCTGAGCAATTTCGCGTACTAAACGCTGGAACGGCAACTTGCGAATTAGCAGTTCCGTGCTCTTCTGGTAGCGACGAATTTCACGCAGGGCAACAGTGCCTGGCCTATAGCGATGAGGTTTCTTCACACCACCAGTTGCTGGAGCACTTTTACGTGCTGCCTTAGTAGCTAACTGTTTCCGAGGAGCCTTTCCTCCAGTTGATTTACGAGCAGTTTGCTTAGTACGAGCCATCTTTCTTTCACAATTCTAACTTTACACAGTCACTGTTAAAAACACAATAACCGTTCGTCTCGTTTGTGTATCGCTTATATAGAACATGAGTGATAAGTTAGAAAGAGAACGAAAGATATTTGCTGTTCGCCGCTTTGCCGAATATGTTACGAGGGTAGTGTGTGAGCGAGATGGAAATATTTTTTTACTCGCTCGAGTTTTGGATATTTTTGGTATAAATATAAGCGCTGGCTGAAGAGCTAGCATTAGTATCTTTGTGACATTCGTGGTGTAAAGTAGAATAAAAATATAAAGTGAAAAATGACTGGTCGTGGTAAAGGTGGCAAAGGCTTGGGTAAAGGCGGCGCCAAACGTCATCGCAAAGTGTTGCGTGATAATATCCAGGGCATCACGAAACCAGCTATCCGCCGTTTAGCTCGTCGTGGTGGCGTAAAACGTATTTCTGGTCTTATTTATGAGGAAACTCGTGGTGTTCTAAAAGTTTTCTTGGAAAATGTTATCCGTGATGCGGTCACATACACCGAGCACGCCAAGAGGAAGACAGTCACAGCCATGGATGTTGTTTACGCGCTGAAAAGACAAGGCCGTACCCTGTACGGTTTTGGCGGTTAAAAAGAAAATGTAGAATTTATGTTGACACCAATCGGTCCTTTTCAGGACCACCAATCCGTTTTATTAAGAGATCAAAAACGTTTAATTCTTAACCTTAACCTTAATGAAACACGCTAGCACAGATCATATGAATGTCTAAAATGTGATGTTGTCAACTTTTATCCGCTGTCTTTTTTTTTTGTTTAGTTAACTAGCAAATTATGCCTTTTTTTCAATATTATGCCTTCTTGGGCAACAGAACTGCTTGGATATTGGGTAAAACAACGCCCAGAGCAATGGTCAAGCTGTCAAACGCTTCTCCATCTAAGAATCAACCGCTCCCGGCACTGCTCCAGCAATCGACAAGATTCACCGATGTTCGTTTGTTTTACAAATTTTGTGCTTGTTTTTAATCTATCACAAAAGACATATTTTGTGCTTGTTTTTAATCTATCACAAAAGACAACCGCATTCGATACACACATTTTTATCGACTAGCACGACTGTACTTTTGAGCTGGGATGTACTTTGTATTATTAAATCGATTTCAGATACCCTATCGAATGAAAAGATAATCTCTTTTTTAATATTTTTGGTCGTCCTGAAAAGGACGGTTGGTTTCGACTTTTTTTTTTGTTTAGTTACTAGTAAATTATGCCTTCTTTTCCGTCTTCTTGGGCAACAGAACTGCTTGGATGTTGGGTAAAACACCGCCCTGGGCAATGGTGACGCCCGAAAGCAGTTTGTTTAACTCCTCATCGTTACGAATGGCCAATTGCAAGTGGCGAGGGATAATTCTAGTTTTCTTGTTGTCGCGTGCAGCATTGCCAGCCAACTCCAAAACTTCAGCGGCCAAATATTCCATAACGGCAGCCAAGTAGACAGGAGCACCGGCACCAACACGTTCAGCATAGTTGCCCTTACGAAGGAGGCGGTGAATACGACCAACGGGAAACTGAAGACCAGCGCGGTTAGAACGCGACTTTGCCTTTCCCTTCACTTTTCCACCTTTACCGCGACCAGACATTTTCGTATTTTCCTTATTTCACTGTTTCACTGCTTACACACAACTATCGAATGTTTCTGACATCCAACCACATATCCATTATGTTTATACTTTTTCCAACTACCTACTTCTTCAGTTTTAGAGATGCGAGTTGAACGTGATATAAACATGAAAGCGTCGCTCGAAAAAAAGTATAAATGCGAAGCAACACACCCCAAGTGTCAAACATTTGTGAAGTGAATTAAAGTGAACGTTTGTGAATAATAATGCCGCCGAAAACAAGTGGGAAGGCAGCCAAAAAGGCTGGTAAGGCTCAAAAAAACATTACCAAGAATGACAAGAAGAAGAAGCGCAAGAGGAAGGAAAGCTATGCTATCTACATTTACAAAGTGCTCAAGCAGGTCCACCCTGACACCGGCATTTCGTCAAAGGCGATGAGCATAATGAACAGCTTTGTTAACGACATTTTCGAGCGTATTGCTGCCGAGGCCTCCCGTTTGGCTCACTACAACAAACGCTCAACTATTACCAGTCGGGAAATCCAAACCGCAGTACGTCTTTTGCTGCCCGGCGAATTGGCCAAGCACGCTGTCAGTGAGGGAACAAAAGCAGTTACAAAGTACACCAGCTCCAAGTAAAATTCAGCTAGATGTACATTGTACATTGTACGGGAAGCAAAAGGCCCTTTTCAGGGCCACAAATCTCTTTTTCAAGGAATTAAAAATATTTAAAAATCCAAATATGCATTCTGGCTGCGTTATAAGAACTTTTCTATTATCTTAAATATTAGAGTACACTTTCCGCCTATTCGGTCTTTAGAGAATCTTTAGTATTTATGGAACTTTTTCTATCTATTGTGCGGTGGAATGAATGAGGAAAGAACATATATGATATTTACAATGATGAATGATAATAAGTTGACGTCCAATCTAATTGAAGTCCAATCTAACTTAACATATATGCCGATGTAGACAAAAAGAAAAATTCTTTCTCTTAGAAAATCGTATTTGTAGCCCTTAAAAGGGCTTTGTTGGAAAACCAATTTCAATATTAGAAATTTGCACATGCTGACGAGCAGTTAGCAATTTCAAATTATTTCTTCGTTGCAGATGCAGTCTTCGCTTTTGGCTTCTTGACAGCAGTTTTCTTCGGGGTCGTAGCCGACACGACTTTCTTCGGTTTAGCAGTTGTGGTCTTAGGTTTTGGGGTCTTTGGCTTTATTGCGCTTGATTTAGCCTTTGCTGTTGTAGGCTTGGCCTTTATGGTTCCCGTTTTCTTCGCATCCTTAGCCTTTGCTTTGTCCGCCTTCTTTTTCTCAACACTCTTTTTGGATGGTGTGGCCTTTGATAGCTTTTTATCAGCGGCACCCGCTGCTTTCTTCGTGATTGACGTACTACTCTTCTTTTTAGTTGCTGCTGCCGGCGAAGCATTCACCTTCTTAGCTTTCTTGTCGACAGCGGAGGCCTTTGGCTTGGGATCCATCTTAGCGGATGCAGATAGTTTAAACGAACCAGAGGCACCCTTGCCCTTTGTTTGGATCAGCTTTCCATTCGCAACCGCATTCTTTAGGTACTTCTTAATGAACGGGGCTAGCTTCTGGGCATCGCACTTGTATGTAGCACCGATATATTTTTTAATTGCCAGAAGGGATGAGCCACCACGTTCCTTTAAATTTTTAATCGATGCATCTACCATTTGCTGAGTTGGTGGGTGCGATGGGGGAGCTGTTGACTTCTTTGACTTTGGTGTGGCTGCTGCCTTTTTAGTAGACACCTTTTTCTCGCCTGAGGCTGCTTGGGCAATCACAGGAGATGCGGACGTTGCAACTGCGGAATCAGACATTTCTTGATCTTTACCTTACTTTAGTGTACTGAAAATACTTTTGGTGTGAAAACGGAAATATGCCATGCTCACCCGTTTGAGTGAGAATCGAGGAGGACGGTGGTACGAGAATGTTTTTGGTATTGAACGTTTGTTACTCAATGCGTCGTCATTACATACTTGTTAAATGGTCATTTACAAAAGTTTATACTTGGAAATCGTTGTGAATATGAATTGAAATATTTTGTTTAATATTCAAACAATACAATATAAATTATTTAGTGTATTTAACATGATTTTATGATTTTTAATTGCCAGTCAAAGTTTAACTTTGAGACTTGGCGAAAAACGTTTTCGAGCAAAAAACACGATTATTAATAAAAATATAATGAATCTTGAAATATTATGCATTTATATACAATATTTCAACAATTCTTTAATCAAATTCAACTATTAATTTAAATATATCTTAAGTCTACTATTTTAAATATCTATTTAACATAAGCCTTAGCTGTTAAAAACAGGCAAGTTTACAATGAAATCAATATAAAACGCTTCAGACAAATCTAATTTTGTCTTTAACAGTTAATATCAATTAAAAAAAAAAAAGGAAATGAAAGATTATTCCATTTAGTAAAACAAATTGTTAATATAGTTGAAACTAAATTAATAAAATATCATGCGAAATCCATATGACATTTCTGTGTAGCGAAAAATCCATTAGATCCTTAGTTAATTTATTTTCGAGCACAATTGATTGAAGAAAAATTAAAAATTATGTTTATTTACGGTGATGAGGACCAAACCAAATGCTTTATACACCTATTCAGAAAATTATCTATACATCAACATATATTTTGTCGGTGGAATATAATGGAGTTGAGTTTTCGGTTAAATATTAAATAATATGCATATGGATTTATCGTTAAGATACAATGAGGTGAAGCAAATACTGTAATGCCCTATTTGCTTATTGTCACATTTTATAAAGCTATTTAATATAATGTTGTATTTGGCGACCTTTCCATTTCAAAATTGTTTGTTTGGCAGGCTCGAGGTCCGAGCTTTTTTTATTCAAGACAAAATGAAAATGCAGTTTTGTTTGACTTTTAACCAATGTTTTTCGACTGCACTTCGGTATTTAATATATTGATACGAAAATATCAATCTCCTTGTTTAGAATATTTTGTGGTCCTGAAAAGGACCGATTTGTTTGATATTTATGTTTTAAGGATGAGGTATAACTTAAGCGCGCTCCCCACGAATACGTCTGGCCAGTTGAATGTCCTTGGGCATGATGGTGACACGCTTAGCGTGGATAGCACACAAATTTGTATCTTCGAATAGGCCAACTAGATAGGCTTCGCTAGCTTCCTGCAAAGCCATCACAGCCGAGCTCTGGAAACGTAAGTCGGTCTTGAAATCCTGAGCAATTTCGCGTACTAAACGCTGGAACGGCAACTTGCGAATAAGCAGTTCCGTGCTCTTCTGGTAGCGACGAATTTCACGCAGGGCAACAGTGCCTGGCCTATAGCGATGAGGTTTCTTCACACCACCAGTTGCTGGAGCACTTTTACGTGCTGCCTTAGTAGCTAACTGTTTCCGAGGAGCCTTTCCTCCAGTTGATTTACGAGCAGTTTGCTTAGTACGAGCCATCTTTCTTTCACAATTCTAACTTTACACAGTCACTGTTAAAAACACACTGAGCATGTGTCTCGTTTGTGTATCGCTTATATAGAACATGAGTGATAAGTTAGAAAGAGAACGAAAGATATTTGCTGTTCGTCGCTTTGCCGAATATGTTACGAGGGTAGTGTGTGAGCGAGATGGAAATATTTTCTTACTCGCTCGAGTTTTGGATATTTTTTGTATAAATATAAGCGCTGGCTGAAGAGCTAGCATTAGTATCTTTGTGACATTCGTGGTGTAAAGTAGAATAAAAATATAAAGTGAAAAATGACTGGTCGTGGTAAAGGTGGCAAAGGCTTGGGTAAAGGCGGCGCCAAACGTCATCGCAAAGTGTTGCGTGATAATATCCAGGGCATCACGAAACCGGCTATCCGCCGTTTAGCTCGTCGTGGTGGCGTAAAACGTATTTCTGGTCTTATTTATGAGGAAACTCGTGGTGTTCTAAAAGTTTTCTTGGAAAATGTTATCCGTGATGCGGTCACATACACCGAGCACGCCAAGAGGAAGACAGTCACAGCCATGGATGTTGTTTACGCGCTGAAAAGACAAGGCCGTACCCTGTACGGTTTTGGCGGTTAAAAAGAAAATGTAGAATTTATGTTGACACTAATCGGTCCTTTTCAGGACCACCAATCCGTTATATTAAAAGAGATCGAAAATATTTTATTCAAGCTAATAGAAATAAGTCTAGATAGACTTTGATAGAATCCAACAACGCAATAAAAGCGAGCGACTTTCTACTAAGTGCTAATTGCATTTAAATTTCAATATTCCGACTAGACCCACCAATGTCCGTTGACCATATGCTTAAAAATTGTTTTTATGCACTTATATTCTGAGGAGAAGCCTACTTAACTGGTACAAGCTATTATACAGAGGCTATTATAATTTTGTCGTGAAATGTGTAACGCATAGAAGGAGACATCTCCTACCCCATAAAGTATATATATTCTTGATCAGCATCAACAGCCGAGTCGATAGAGCTATGTCCGTCTGACCATCTGACCGACTGTCTGTTTCGATGCAAAATAGTCTCTCAGTTTTAAAGCTATCTTAATGAAACTTTGCAGAAGTCCCTCTTTCTGTTGCACGCAGCACATATGGATCGGACCACTATATCATATAGATGCCATAGGAACGATCGGTCGAAAATTAAGTTTTTGTATGAAAAATTTTTTTTTTGTTTTAAGATATCATGACCAAACTCGGCATTTATTAGTTTTACTTTACTTCTCATATATGTGCAAAATCATATTAAGATCGGACCACTATATCACATAGCTGCCATAGGAACGATCGGTCGAAAATTAAGTTGTATGAAAAAACATTTTGTTTATCAAGATATCTTGACCAAACTCGGCATTAACTATTTTCCCTGTGCTTCTTAGATACGGGCAAAGCACTATAAGCATTATGAAAAAGTTGGGTCTGCAAGGGTATTAGATCTTTGACGTGTCGAAGATAGCCTTCTTTCTTGTTTTGTATTCAATTGATGCGTTTAAAATTATTATTAAAAAACATTTGAAACATTTTTGGTGGTCGTGAAAAGGACTGTTGGATTCGTCATAATGAACATAATGAACCGAAATTTTTGAGAATTTTGCCATCTGGCCCTCTCACTTGGCCGAACACCTGAAGATAGTAGTAGGATATCGTCCGCGTAGACGAGCGGCTGAATGCGCGCTGTCGAAGTTGAGGTGGGGATCTATATGAAGGCTGGTAGATCAGCGAGGTAATTGATATATATATTGGTGCTAGGAGGGAACCCTGCGGCGAACCTGCAGTTATTTCGCGGATTAGCGATTGCTCAATGCCGTCTGGGCTGGCGACTTGGAAAGAACGGGTTGTAAGGTAGCTTTGAATAATACGTGTGGTATTTGGGTTAAACCGGAAGATGTTGCTCATTATAGCCTGAGCCCATTAAAAATGAGTATAAGGGTATATCCGACCCGATAAAGTATATATATTCTTGATCAGCATCAATAGCCGAGTCGATCTAGCCATGTCCGTCTCTCTGTCTGTCCGTCTGTCCGTATGTATGAACGCAAGGATCTCAGAACCTATAAGAGCTAGAGACTTGAAATTTTAGATGTAGATGCTCCTAGTTCCCGCGCAGATAGTGTGGGTAGATTTATTTACCGCTGGCTTAGAATAATAGTAATATATTTCGATGTTTAGGAAGTAAACTAATACTTATAGTGTCAAATTGACACAGCTTGAAGATCTAATTGCTGTATTGAGCCGACAAGAGATTTTGATTAAAAATACATATTCACTGCCTATCGGTATTGTATTTTGTTTAACATATACGATTGTAATATATACAATTAAATATTTTTGTATTGTTGTATTATTAGAAATATAATCAATATGTATTTTTAAAGCGCTACCTGGTAAAAAAATAAAACTTGAACTGATACTGAATCAGATGACATACACACATACTAATACTATAGACATGTGTTGTGTCTGGGTGATGATATATAAATCTGATTACATTTTCGCATAGTTTTATATCCCCGCAATACGAAATATATGAAATCCATATAGCTATCCATTAGATTGTCAAATATTGTTTTGGAATATATATATAAGATAGCCTTTATTAAATTTTTCTTAAAAATAATCGAAGTGGCTGATTTGTTTACTATTTAAAGTCCCTAATGGTTGACAAGGTGGATCCCCAGCTGTAGGATTGTTTGAAAACACTGCAAAGGATAAAATTGGAAATTAGCATTGCACATTTCCTAAAAATGAATATACTAACTTTTCGCGTAGATATTGTAGCACTTCCTGCTCGGTGGAGCTCAAGCCGTTGAAGACCGCATCGAGGTTAATCTGCAGCAGGCGACGATTGGGTATACCGATCAAAAAGGTTGCAGCGCCCTCCAGTTGCATGGTGTAATACATGGCTAGTTTACCTAGCTCCACGCCACGTTTCTTGCAGATCTCGGCGGCTTGTCGACCTATCGACTGAAGCTCTTCGCTGCCGGGATGCCAAGTTTGTGGACCGGCATTGGAGAGCAAACCCAGTGCATGGGCGGCGGCACATATAACGCCCACATTTAGCTCCCGGAAAGCTTTCATATGACGCAACAGTGTATTGTCCAGGAGAGTATATCGAGAATAGGATAGTACAATATTAACGCGACCTTTTGCACGTTCCGCGCAATCCTTTAGAACGTCGACATCATAGCCGGTGATTCCAATAAATCGCGCCTTGCCGGCTTTCACATACTCTTCAAGCACTGGAATCGTCTCCTTAAGCACCATGTCCAGGCTGGGCGCCGCATCCACGTCATGCACCTGTAACACGTCCACATAATCTAAGCCCA